CTCATGAAAACCTTTAGTTTCTCTAATCCTTGATCACTGCAATCTTGATCCTAAAATTGTTTTATGTTCCCAAAAGTCCCCTTCTTTCCTTCTCAAAACACATCTTAAATAGTTCAGGTCCAACCCAGTAATAGAAAAATACCCGAAATACCCTCATGGATCACAAATGCCCAAAATCCAAGAAAAATAGAAGATGAAGCGTTTTATCCAACACGGGCTGTGTCAGCTGACACGGGCGGCCGTGTTGGCTCCCTGTTATATTTGCACAAGAATTTTCTATGTCCCAGGTGTGCTGACACGGGCGACCGTGTCAGCTCCCTGGTTTCCACCAATTTTTGCCTTTCTGAGCACTTCTTGACACGGGTCGTGTCATGTGACACGGGCGGCCATGTCAGGCTCCTGGTCCTCTTCAAAACTCTTCCAAATTCTTGCTGTTTTCTCCGGTTTTTGCTCTGATTCTCCTTTATTACTTACCTGAACCTAGAAGCAATGAAATACCAAACCGACGCGTAAAATGCAATAAAAACGAATGAAATGCGACTAAACAATAAAAATGATCAACTAAAACTAATGGTAAAATAACATATAAAAAACACTGATCAGGTAACCTGAAGGGTATGTCAAAAAAGGGAAGGAACATTATATGTGCAAGCTGAATAGATCCTTATATGGACTTAAACAATTTCCTCGACAGTGGAATAGGAGATTCGACAAGTTCATGGCACGCATAAATTTCATTAGAAGTGAGCTCGACCACTATGTTTACTTCAAATTTGGATCGTTTAATTCATTTTTTATTTTGTTGCTCTATGTGGATGATATTCTAATAGCAAGCAACAATGTCGAAGAGGTAATGAAGGTGAAGGCTGAACTCAATAAGGAGTTCGATATGAAGGATCTGGGAGCTGCGTCTAGGATTCTTGGGTTTGACATCTGAAGAGATAGAAAGCAGTCGAGATTATGCTTATCTCAAGAGGCATACCTACGGAAGATTCTCGAAAAGTATGGTATGTCGAATTCAAAGTCTGTTATGACTCCGACAAACCCTCAATTCAAGCTAAGTATAGATCAGTGTCCCAACATTAATGTTGAAAGAACTTATATGAATAGCATTTCATATGCTAACATAGTAGGTTCTTTGATGTATGTTATGGTCTGTACTAGACCCGACATAATATATGCAGCAAGTCTTGTAAGCAGGTACACGACGAATCCTGGAAAGCATTGAAATGGATTCTAAGGTACATAAATGGGTCTCTGAATAGAGTCCTAATTTATGGTGGAGCCTTGGGTGAAGATAGTAAAGCACCAATCGAAGGATATATCGACTTTGACTATGCAGGTTGTATGGATTCCAGAAAATCTATTTCTGGATATGTGTTCACTATATTTGGGACAACAATCAGTTGGAAAGCAACCTGAAGTGGGGTGTATTGCCCTAACTGAAGTTGTAAAGGAAGCATTGTCGCTTGAAGGTTTTGCAAAGGAGCTAAAACTTCAAGGTCGAGTTATCACTGTTAAATGTGATAGTCAAAGTGCAATACACCTGTCAAAGAATTTAGCCTATCATGAGCGAACCAAACACATTGATGTGAGGCTGAATTTTATCAGAGGGGTAATCAAGCATGGAGAAGTCCAAATGCCGCAAGTTTCGACAGATCATAATGTTGCTGATATGATCACCAAGATGTTGCCCAGTTGCAAGTTTTTCAACTGTATGCAGTTGATAAAGTTGCATGGAGAAAGCAAGTTTCTTGATGTTATAGAATTAGATCCAAGGTGGATTTCTGTGAGATGTTGGATTGAACTCTAATATGGTCGAAGAGTAGCTTCTGGTTCGACATGAATTAAGCATGAGGTCGAAGTATTTTGTTTCAAGGCATCCGATTCACAACATGTTGGTTGAAGAATTAGAACCATTGAAACAAATTCTAATTGTTAAAGAGTGAGATATGGATAATGGGTTGTAGGAACATCGAAAAATATTGTTTAGTTTAACTTGTTATTCTAATTAATATAACTTAATTTTTCATATTATTAATTACTAAATCAAATTGAAAAGTTATATTTTTAGTGAGCAGTTGATGAAATAAGCATTCCATATAAGTATTATAAACTCGAGTAAACATATCTCCATGGTTGGAAGTTATAATCATGGTTAAATGTTGTATGATAAGTCTTTCACTATGATAGCGACGTACGATTATGGCTAAATGTTAAGAAATCTCCAAAAATGTCGCCACTGGGTATCGAACCCATGACCATCACCTTATACTACAATTGGTTTCTACAATTGTGGTAATATGCTACGCATTATTGTGTTTTTACCGCGACTACCAGCCCATAGTGGTAAAGATGACACATACTACCACACCCTTCGTTACCACAGACCTCCAACTGTTGTAATATCCTTCTCCCAATTGTATTAAAATGTGCTTTTTATAGTAGTATGTCTACCCAAAACCACCAATTTTAAGTAGTGGACTACCATGTTTTCCTTAAACCATGTTGCCCTTAAAGACCTCGTTCTTTAAGGAGTATGAAATATTATGTTGTAATTCAAGCCCACTTTGATATGATTTGTGGTGATTCACCATTTACCCATCTCATAAAAAGGCAGACGAACCCTTCGTGTTTCCTGACATGACCAGGATGACTCACCAAGCACTTCCCACTACCATTGGGACCACCCTGTATGAAGCGAACAATCTCAAATATTTAATTGGCTATGTGTCATTTGTATTGAAGGAGTGAGTCACCATATATGATGGACTAAAATAAAATTAAAGTCATGTGAGGTCAAGTTTATATACATAAATATTGGCATCCCCCAAGGGTGAACTAAGTATATAGATGTTCATCTTAAGATCTAGATTAGATAATGAATTATTCACATATCATTAACCCAAAAATAAATTTAGCTTTGTGTATCACTGTCATACCCTAAATTTGTCCTACTTCGGTATTTAATGAATGTCTTACTGCCACATGACTTCTGGCTGTGACCCTCTAAGGTTTCGTTTATAAAGACCTTGTGTGTGCTTATTGTGGTCATAATCCCTAGCAATTTATGTTGAATTCTTATGGGAGGAGCGCGCCTCCAGCCCCTTATACCCAAACTCATGTGTGTCCTTGTTCTCACGATCAGACAGACATGATATGGTCAATACCATAAAGTACATGATTAGATCCATCTCGCCACACAATTGTTGGTTTTCAAGAAATATAAACCTTATTTCAACTGGGTTATAAATTTCTCTAAAGGTTGTTTAAACATTGCTACAAGTTACTTGTTATGATAGGCACTTAATGTACGTTGTTCAAAGATACTTCACATGTTGCTTCTAGACATGGTCGACTTTGCCTCAAGCCTTGTTCGAATTGATTGCAAGTGTCAAGTTATGTTTGGATTCTAAATCAGTTTGTGACAAACTTAGATTTAGCCCATGAGAGTTATTGGATCAAGATAAACTGTTTTATTTTGCCCATGAGAGTTATATGATTTGGGCTATTCTTGTCAAGACACGGCTAAACATCAAGCCATGACTAAGTTATGTCTAAACATAAATTATGCTTAATATTTTGTTGTTCCATGAGCAAAGCTTTGGCGGAAAAAAAAAACAAAAATAACAAACTATGAAAGTTACCAAGCTGACGTCTGGATATATAAATCAAATTATTATCATTACAACATATCGATTGATGCGTGAACATAAATTCTTTGTAGAGTTTTGGATACCATGGAGCCAAGTTATGATAAAGTAACAAATCATAAAAAAAAAAAGAGTTTTTTCAAGCTATAGGCAAATTACTACAAGCCGTGTGAGGCTATTCATGTCTATTTCTCAACAATGATAATATTACAAATATTAATTCCAATTCAATCAGCATCAGTATATCAGGATTTCCGCCAGTGATTTCAATATCATCCAATGACCAAAATTGCAATACATCTACCAGTTGCAAGACTTAAATTTCAAAGACGCCAACTCACTCCAAAAGTTTCGGTCACTGTTTTCTATTGAGAAATTTAAATTACCGGACTCTCTAAAAGTTGTGGAAGCTCCACAGAATTTAGACTTGCACGAATCCCAAGTTGTAGGCATTCTGAAGCATATCGTAAATGCCCCACAATTTCCTCCACGGTGCTCAGAATCCATTGCAAATATGGAAACTGTTAGGAAGTTAAACATGTCTGATTATCAAACTTGTGGTAGTTCAGGCAACATAGCAACAACAACAATTGCTCCCCAGGAAGTATCCCACTCCAGCAAAGTATCCAATCAGCCAGTAAGAATACATTCCCAATGATATCCTTACCACGAGACTCGCAATTTCAGCAACAGATAGACCAACAAGCGAGTTTCTTGCAAAGGCAGTGGCAACAGACACAATTACAACAATCACCATCCCAGGTATTGCAACAAAGCCAGCAACAGAGGGTGACACCAAATCTTCCAGTGGCTCAAGTATCTCAACAAAACACCTCCGAGCTCCGACAAAATTCCATTTTCTTTTTCACACAAGTGTTCATGATGTTGCTGGTCCCATTCCACTAAGTGGTCACAAAGGCGCGAACAAAACCTGTAATTCATGTGTACATTATATAATTCAGAAATTCATAAATTTCAATCCGTACAAAGTTCATTACAAAGGCAATCATGATAGTTGATTCTAAATCCGCCAAACTAATCCAAGAGACAAGCTTATAGAATGCAGAATATGGAATGCTGAGACTAACCTTACAAGCCAAAGATTCAGGCTTGATGGAGGTTACATCACTAATCCTTTGGCAACAACACACTTTTCTCAGGATCCCCATCAGGACATCAAAGTACTTTTAGCAAGACACGAGTCAAACCCAGATTCTGAGGCACACTTGAAGTTGCTTTTACCTCAGGTAATTTCTTCATTTGGAGGAAATAAATCTGTTTCTGAGACTATTAAGGATCTAAAACAACCCCAGTCAGGCACTGATTCCAACGTTTCTGAGTAGGCTAATGAAGCTCTCCAAGGCCTTGGAAAAAGGTGCTCCCTTCTCCCTTTTCTTGACCAATAAGTACTTCTCTGCAGTTGCCTCTACAATAGAAAAAAGCAACGGTGAATTATCGACATTTACTGGCGTAATGAAAACTGAGTATCGCATTGCCTTGAGGTCTTCACTGCGACATGATTTTGCAGAAGGTGTTAAAGCAGTCTTGATAGATAAAGATCAGAACCCGAAGTGGAAACCACCGAGGTTGGAGGAAGTTGATCTGAGTGAGGTTGAAGTTGTCTTTAAACCATTAGGAGCAGAGGCGAGGGAGTTGTCTGTCTAATTTTCAAAGGAAAGCTTCATCTTCATTGAATGCATTACTGAATTATATGAAACTGCATCAAATAAACAGACGGTGTTATCATAAAGTCCGGTGTCTGGTGTTGCTTGTATCGTTGTCATCACTGATACTCTTGACATTAAATCTATGATCTTGAAAATCAAAGGATGATGTTGCCTAACCAAAATTGAGAGAATGATCTTCACCAAGAAACTGTGAGCATAGGTTTGTTTCCGCACCAAAACTCCACACCAGGTAACTTCCAAACCAAGCCATTAATTTTGTTGCTCCCATAAACTCCATAAACTATCCATCATCAGAGTGCCTCAAAGCCTCAGCATAACGCCAACTTACTCCAAAAAGCAATACATGAAAAGGAGAAAAAATGCGTATGGTGGTCAAAAGATGAATGAAAGATAATCCAATATAAAATCAGATAAAAAGCACCATTGTGTTACGATATGAAGCTCAAGCATCGTGTGCTATTTCAATACAAAAAAGGAAGTTCAACTCACAAAGAAATTCACAATTATTGGCAAGTTTTCAAAAGAAACCAAACCATATATTTGATGACAGCAGCAGCAGAATAGCAGTAGGATACACTACCTGATGTGCTGCAAAATGCCAGCTTATTTCCATCTCGTAATTCTTTAAAGATTCTCCCACATCACCATCACATCAAGGTCCTGCATGATTATAAGGCAGCAAGGTTGGCAAAAAGACAAGAATCATGTTGAGTCAGCCAAAACCGCAAGGGAAGGGTGTAATATTCTCATTACCCCATGACAACATTTGTTGCACTCTGATTGTACAAAATCATGAAGAGATTACATGTGTTCCACCCTGCATCAGATGAAAGAAGTACCTACAAGCGGAAGCATGAATTATCCATGCAAAACAAAGAACTTTTGAGTTATATTCCACAAGGTTTGAGTGAGGAAATCATAATGCAAAGAAATCATAAGGCTTAAATCTATAAAGAATGCAATGTCTACTACACACAAGTCTCCATACCTCATTCTGCAAGTTTCAAAATAACTCCTAACTTATGTCTTCATGCCAAGTTCTCAGCAGAGGCTTGATTTTCCACCAAGATATTAATGTTGTTCTTCATTTAAATCCATACAAACTTCTCAACAAGAAACAAACCTATTGCATCGAAACAGGACAGGAATCAAAAGTCATCCATATATTGCAAAAAGAACAAAAACATTTTAAGTCAAAATAAAGACTTCCATGTCAACAAATTGATAAGCAGTGAAAAAAACATTTTCACACAGTAAAAATCTCAGTAAAAACTAGATTTTTTCTTTCCTCACTACAGACAAAGAAGAAGTCACTATCACTCAAATCCCAGAGAATAAGAAATCGTGGTATAAACCTCTAACGGAATTGTACTACCAAAAGACACCTCATTGTCCTACACAAAAACCTCACACGATACCAGACATTTCTTTCAGCAAATTTCAAGTTTTCACACGTATCAAAAAACCCTAAAATATCCTATAAATACACTCCTAACCATTGGCAAAAACGGAGAGAAAAACCCTAGCGAAGCTCTGCGAGATTGAATCCTCAAAATACCAGAATCATTCAAAAGTTCTCTTTAAGAGTTGATAGAGCTTCACACTGAAGCTCTAGACAACTTGAACTAAGCCGCATTACCATAACCAACAGAAACGGGGGCGAGCTGAAGCAAGCTTAAATTTAAAGTGTACGATCAAAGAAGAAGAAGAAGAGCAGAAAAGAATAAAGCACGGGCCATTTACCTCACAGATTCACCATCGGATTAGCTCTGAGCTGGTGAGTTCCCTTTTTACTTGGTTTTCGCTTGCCGTCGTATAAACACCATGACTTATTTGCTTGAATACATTACTCTATGTATTGTTTAAACTCTGGTTATTGATTTGGATTTTCTCTTTGCTATAGGTTATGAGTTTGATTTAGGGTTTATTTGTTAAGATTAAGTTGAAATTAGGGATTTGTGGGTAATTTGGGGATAAGGTTAAAAAAAAGAAGAAGGAATGTGTAGAGAAAGAGGGTAGGATGAAGAAACATGGCGAGAGGAGGCAGGTATTCAGCGTGAAGAGAGATGTGGAGATTTTTTCGGTTTAACGTGTTAATAAGATAGGTTTTCCTTTTTATTTTCCTAGATTCCTTTTTCAATGTTTGACTGTGGCCTTCCCTAGATAGTCAGATTTTTATCAAATTGGTTGAAGTGCCCATTTAATTTTGAGTGCTTTGGTAGTTGGTTTTATTTATGATCTGTTTTAGGGAAGACTTCGAGGAGTTCACAGCAATTATGGTAAAGGTAGTGGATCAAGAGGCGCATAGGGAGGGGAAGAATTTGTTTGATAGGCTTTGGGCTGTTTTTCGCTAGGCTAGAGGGCCCGACCATTGTGGGCCGGCCTTGGCATTCTTATAAGTTTCTGTTGATTAGAATACTTCCCTCATTTTATGTGCACCCCAAATCTGTCTTGGTTTAATTAATCTTATATTAGGGATTGATTAAGTTAATAATTGTTATTATCTTTGTTTCAACCCATGTTTTTAGGGCATAATATTAGTAGATAGTTGCTTTTAAAAAAATGATTTCTAAATTAAATTAATAGAGAATTACTTATCCGATTGAATAATTTTAATTAATTATTTAATATAGTTAATCCTAAAAATGCTATCTTTATATTTAAAATCGCAATCCTTTTTAAATTAAACCATTTTCCTAAATAAATTTAATGAAAGTAGTGGGTTCTTGGGGTCTAGCACTCCTCGGATCCTTAAACGACCACTCTTGGGGCGTACGCTTTGAGTTGTGGTTGTTTCGTCTTTCATCCTTAAGACTACCCAACTTTGTTAAAACTTTCAAAATTTGCAAACCTTAATTCGAGCGATATACTTACCCTAGTTTAATATACATACGTTAATATTTTCAAATTATTTTCTTAATTAAAATACGAAAGTGTCGAGTTCTTGGAGTCGCGCATTCCTTGAATTCGAGAGTGATTACTATTGGGGCGTACGCCTTGTATAATATATCATTCGAACTTTCATTCCTAAAATACTTCCCATAATTATTTGGACAAGTACTTTCACTGTCCAACAAACACTATTTCCTAATTTATGGAATGAAAAAGGTGTCGTTGGGATCTAGCATTCCAACAATATCCCGACTAGTTGATTACGAGGCTGACGCCTCGCTTACCGAATAGTCGTCATTCCTCCCAAATTTTCAACCCGTCTAATCTCGTTCCTCACCTTCGTGCGATCGAGTCTAAACCCTAGTATGTTTCTAGACCATATGTCAAATCCAAATTATTTTCTTAACTAAATTGCAAAAGAGTGGAGTTCTTGGAGTCTCGCATTCCTTGAATTCTTGAGTAACCACTCTTGGGGTGTACGCTTTAGGTTGTGGGCTACTCGACCTTTCGTCTATAAAACACATGCCCTAACTATTTGGACAAATATCGCCATTGTCCATTCAAATACAATTTCATAATTAATTGAATGAAAGAGGTGTTGTTGGGATCCAGCATTCCAATGATATCCCGATTAATTGATTGCGAGACTGACGTCTCGTTTATCGAGTAGTCGTCATTCTCCCTTTAAATACTCAACCAAAATCATCTTTCTCGCCCATGTGCGATTGAAATATTTCAAACACTAAATTCCTCGCCCTCGTGCGATTTCCAACCAAAACAACTTTTCCCAAGGAACATTGTTTATTTCATTCTTCCGCGCATAACAAACTCGTGCTTCAGCCTCCCCTAGCGAGCAGACAAGCCAATGTTTAGCAGTTAGGATGCGACCTAAACACTCGTTCAGTTTCGAACCCTTTTACCAAAGTTAGCCGAACTACGGCTGCTCTGATTTCTCATTTATCAAATGAGAATACGTAGGCACAAGATTGCGATGATCTTGGCAAGCACAATCCCCCCTTTTACCCGTAGTCCCACAAACTACGAATGCTCTGATTTTCCACTTCTTACAAGTGAAGATACGTAGTCACAAGGGCCCCAATCCTTGGCGAGCACCCTATCTTTAAACCATACATTTCCCCCTTTAGGACAATCTTAGAAGAAAACAAACAAGCGTAGCTAAAGTTTACTCTCGAATCGAATTAAGAGGTTCCCGTTGAGTACAACGGACGTAGAGGGTGCTAATACCTTCCCTCTGCGTAATCGACTCCCGAACCTAGAATATTGGTTACGATGACCATGTTCTTATCTTTTAAAGGTTTTATCGATATTTTCCTATTCCTTCCCTGGAATAAATAAAGTTCGGTGGCGACTCTGTTTCAAACGTATTTTCCGCGTCCATCGCGAGGATCGTATTTTTTGAGGTACGACAATCACATGCATGGACTCTATTATTGTACTCACTGCAATTATAATTGATGACACCTACCCTAGTATCCAATAAAACTAAATTGGGCCATGCTTTCTCTTAAGAAGTTTTAGTAGCTTTATCCTTGTTCCACAGTGGTGAAGGATGCCTCCAAAAATGGAGATTCATAATCCATATCGTAGATGTAAACCACTATAGAATAGTTACTCTTCATATTAAAATATTACATAATAACATACAAAACCTTCAACAACATCAACAGTAATAGTTGAAAGGAGACGAGCAGAAGAGTATAAAGGCCATAAACCCTCAACCACCATATGCCGATATCTAGAAAGTGCCATCTAGAGGTCATAGGTTCAAGTGATCCTCCCAAATGTAAGTTGCTTTCAAGAGTGTTAAAGGAAACGACTTTACATTAATATTTAAACCTCCCCCAAGTTCTTCATCACCAATTACCTTGACCTTTCCCAAAAGTTAACCCACCAGTTCTCAACATGTAAGTATCTTAAGATACTGACCACGGGGTTGTTTAGTGTATGTTACAGACACTTTGAACCTTTACGAGAGTGCCTGACATGCTTCAACAATGAAATGATCAAGGTAATCAATCCTAACTAGGAGATACTCATATGAGCATTCCAGCATGGGCTCAAAGT